ATTTTTGTAAAAAAATTCTTTTTTATATTTTTAACTTTATAATGCTATAACTTCTCGAAAGATGTATGGATCAATATAATTCTTTTTTTTGTAGATGCATGATGTCTTTACCTATCATTTGGTATATTTTTTTTATAAATCTGACTTTTGACCTGCCTACAGGGGGGGATTCAAAATGACAACTTTTTCACAAAAAATTGACTTTTTCAACTTAAATTTTGAAAGTGTTCCGGAAAGTCTGACACTTTTATATATATATTAAATTAAAGCTAATGTAATTTACTTTATTATGCGAAAAAAAAATTTCGAACTTTATTTTATCTTCACGGTGAAAATGGCTACCGAATGCTATTATTGTGTGAAAATTCTCGATTTTATTTTTTAAATTTTTAACTTTATAATGCTATGACATATTGAAAAGTGTATGGATCAACATTATTTTTTTATGAGAAATAATATTTTTTAATAATCCCTTTTTCATTCTACATACTTTATCTTAATTAGGATATTAATAATGAACTAGCAGATAATGTAGCTTTTGGAATAGTCCACCAATTTTTTAAAATTAAACACTATCTAAAGATTTGCATCGAAGCGTTTTTTTTTGATAGTGATTTTAATCACTGTCAGATATCATTATACTTAATCCATCTATACCACGTCACCACTGTGCCGCGACCCCCCTGTGCTGGGTTTTTTTTAATTCTACCCTTTGTTGAGGTGAAATTCTAAGAGGTGCATTGAATTTAGGGTCAGTAATATTGGGTTTCATTTTTATTCCACATGGATTTACTTATGCTACTTTGATTTTTGCATTATCACTAGTGAATAAATGAATATATTGTTTTAATAAGTTAATACCTGTTTGTGTTTACAATTTGTTAAATTAGGTGATATGTTAATTTTCGTACCTTCTAAGTCTGTTATATGTTGTTTAAATTGATCAAAATCATTATCCGCGAGAATATTATTATTATTTTCTATTTTCATTAATGATCCTTTATCAATATTTTTAAAACTATCAATATTAATTTTATTAATAGAATTTTTATTATTAAGTGTTGATCTTTTTACATTATCAAGTGGTTCAAATTCTGTAAAAGTAATAGTTTTTATTGGAATATCTTTTGATTTTTTATCTGTTAATGTACCTGGAATCCAATGTGTATTATTTTTTACATTGTATAAAACTATTGGAGGGCGATTACCCAAACCATAGATGATTCCACTTTTATTTGTACAGTCAAAAATGTAAGTATCGTGATTGTAATGATTTGCAATAGCTGCCAATTCATATCACTAAACCAATAATTAGGTAACTCAAAAAGATCTAAAATTTCCATTATTGAAGTTATTTTTTTATCTTTATTATCATTTAATGTATTATAAATTGCGTAGATTCCACAATTGTTTGAACTATACAGGGTGTTCAGTAAGTCAGGAAACGGGTTTCTATTGTTCTCATTGTTACAAACAATGAGAACAATAGAAACCCGTTTCCTGACTTACTGAACACCCTGTATATATTTTCCCCATTTTTATATTTTACATAAATTTTTAAGTTATTATCAATAGTTTTTTCATTAATTATATTTTGATTAGACAAATGTTATGAATCATAATCTTTTGTTATATTAATTAATGATTTATGTTCCTGAGTTTTCCAATTATTAGTAATGTGTTTTCCATTTTTATGACATATTAAAACATTAATATTTGTATTCAAAAATGTTGAAAAGATAATCTGTTTTATTATGGTCCACTATTATTTGTCTAAACCTGATTCTATTTTAGGCATTGCAACATCAGTATCATTGTGTTTATTCATTTGAATTCTTAAATTGTTTAATGCTTTTTTAATATTTATATATTCTGGTTTTTCAAAGTAATAGTTTTTTGTTATTAAATAATAAATTACTCTACCATTTAAACAAATTGGAATAGCATCTCCTATTTTAGGTTTAAGTTTAAATAATGTAGAAGCCATATTACCATATCTATTACAAATATCTAAAGCTATGCCCTTGTTCATTTTTAGATCGGCAGAAATGCAATGTGTAAATNTTTCAACTTAACTTTTGAAAGTGTTTCGGAAGGTCTGACACTTTTATATATATCTTAAATTAAAGCTTATGTAATATACTTTATCATGGAAAAAAAACATTTCGGACTTTATCTTATCTTCACGGTGTAAATGGCTACCGAATGCTATTTTTGTGGCACTAATTGATTTTTATTTATAATTAAAAATTTTTTATCAAAATTAATGATTGTTTTTATCTAAAAAGTCACTACCAATAATTATTGAACAGTTTAAATTCAAGACAACAAAAATATTAATGGCAAAATTAACGTGATTTATTAATATGTTAATTGTTGTTGTTCCCAACATTGTTAATGGTGTGTTATCTGGACCACCTATTTTAATGTTATTTTTATAGATAATTTGATCTATGGGTAGTAACTTATTTGTTATACAACTAATTTTTGATCTTGTGTCAATCTTGTTATTGGGATATTTGTGTTATTAAAATAAGCATAAAAATGAAAAGCAAGATTAGTATCGTCAATTATATTATTAATATGTAATATACTTTGATTTTTTGCTGAATTTAAAGGTGAACAAATATTTTCATCCTTTTTGTTTAACCTCAATTCAAGTTTTTTGAATGTTTCTTACAATAGGGAGCTGTATGTCCTATAGAATTGCATAACTGACATAAGACTTTATTGTTTTTAAAGAAACAATTTTTTGAAGTATTATTTGTTTAAGTACATATGTTACATTTCATAATACTATTATCATAACCTTTTTCATTATAATTAGGTTGAAAATTTATGCGATATTTAATGTCCTGTCTATTTTGCCTAAAATTATTTTTTGTTGAGAATTTATTTAATAAAGATTTTAATTTGATGAATCATTATAAAAATTATGTTTGTTCAAATTAATATTGCCTCTATTAAAGTTAGGATTATTTTGAAATCGATTGTTATTATTCTGATATTGATATATATATATATATATTTATATACAGAGTGATTTTTTTATCATAACCCACTCAATTACTTACAGAATAATAATAATTAAAAAATTTTTTTTTATTACTATCTTTAGTTACACATTATTCTTGAATTATTAACTATGTAATACTTTTTAAGTTCATCCCTTATGTCTGGTAGGGGTGTCAACTTTGTTTTTTTAAATGGTAAAACATATTTTTAATTTAATAAAATGTTTGAGTTTTTTATTCAATAATAAATGGCATTTGAATTTTTAATAAAACTTAANTAATTTAATAGTAAATGAAATATAAATTTTTAATATAACTTTATTCGTTTATTAGATATAAACACTTAAAGTTTCAAATTTTTGAGTTAATATATAGTTATAATACACAGGGATTACAAATACAGGTAGCTTATTGGTTTTTTATGATATTGCTATCACAGTCACGGATTGTTTATTATCAATTATGACTATCAATAGATATAATTTTTGTATTGTCGGTTAGTGTATTTATAAACTCACAACAATGTACCTTACTATCATTAATAATAACAATGCTGTGTACCTGCTAATATCGATGTCATAAAAAATCAATTAGCTACCTGTATTTGTAATCCCTTGTGTACTATACCTATATAATAACTCAAAAATTTGAAACTTTAAATGTTTATATCTAATAAACAAATTAAGTTTCATTAAAAATTTAGATGCCATTTATTATTGAATTAAAAACTCAAAAAATTTATTAAATTAAAAATATGTGTTACCATTTAAAAAAACAAAGTTGACACCCTTACCAGGCAAGGGATGAACTTAAAAAGTATTACATAGTTAATAATTCAAGAATAATGTGTTACTAAAGATAGTAATAAAAAAAAATTTTTTAATTATTATTATTCTGTAAGTAATTGAGTGGGTTATAATAAAAAAATCACTCTGTATATGTTATAATTAGATGGGCGTCCCCGTATTTAACTAATATTTTACAGGCACTTTTTTAAATTTATTTATATATATATATATATATTTACAAGAATAATTTAAGCCGATCCGACCTGTTGTCTTCCGCTCAGCACATCTGTGACTCCGCTAACAGGTGACCATCGCAATAAAAACACCCAGTTCTATATCATGAGATCCGATAATAGATAATAATCAGAGTGATTGTAGAAAACTATTAGTCTTGCTATTTGCACATTATTAGTTGATGGCAAAAAACACAGCCGGAATTTAACAATTTTCAAACCGTCAAATATTTTATCTTTTTGGTCACCGACATTTTATTAAGAGAAACGGAGAGGATTTAACAACAAGCATCAACACAATTACTGCACGTAAAAAATGTCTCCAAAATGTAAAAGAGGCAAGAGAATAAAACTGAAAATAACCGACATGTATCCCGTCGATATAACAACTGTTTTTTTTTTTGCACTAATCGACGGCGCAACAGGTTGGTGGTGGAAACGGCTGATAAGAACCAATTGTTTCCACCACGCCTTGTCGCCTGGCTCGAACAGATTGTGTAATTTAATTTATTTTTTCATTTATATTTATTTTGTTTAATTTCAAACGAACTTTAAATTCAGTTAAGTTACAATTATCAAGAATACTAACATATATAGCAATACTTGGATTTAAACCTTTAATAACATTTCTCACCAACTTTTCCTTTGACACATTGCAGTAAATTCTCTTACATAGAGGCTTCATATCATTAATTTATTCAACTGTTTGTTCATCATCTAATTGCTTTCTTTCTCTAATAAAATACGTCACATATCATTTTAAGCAATTAGTTAAAATTCTTCTTTAAATTTTTTTTCTAATTCATGCCAGGGTAAATTTTTTAATTCAATATTATCATAAAAGGTTAAAGCAGAACTTTGCAAAAAAGCTACTAAATATTGAGGTTTATCATTATCTGACCAATTATTAATAGCAGCTGTTCTACTAATTTTTTAGATTCGATGCGAAGCTGAGAAGGTATTGGTTTTACTAAAATGTGTTTTTTTTTTTTTGTGTCTGTTGCCACTTTTACTCAGCTCTCACCGAACCGATTTCTTTCAATGATACGTCAAAAGATCACAAATCGTATCTAGTCGAAGACATTACCCTCAAAAATTGAAAAAAATTCCCTAGTTCCCCGTAAATGGGGAAACATCCAAAAAAATTACAAATTTAAAAATCGCTAATTTTCGAAATTTTTTCAATTTTTTTTACTAAAAACTGCTGTAACTCTTTTAGAAATAAACATATCAATATAATTCTTTTTTTTATAGATGCATGATGTCATCACCTATCTTTTGGTATATTTTTTTTTTATATCTGACACTTAACCTGCCCACAGGGGGGGATTTAAAATGACAACTTTTTTACAAAAATTTAATTTTTTCAACTTAACTTTTGAAAGTGTTTCGGAAGGTCTGACACTTTTATATATATCTTAAATTAAAGCTTATGTAATATACTTTATCATGGAAAAAAAACATTTCGGACTTTATCTTATCTTCACGGTGTAAATGGCTACCGAATGCTATTTTTGTGTGAAAATGTTCAATTTTGTATTTTACATTTTTAACTTTATTATGCTATAACTTTTTGAAAAATGTATGGATCATTACAATTTTTGTATGAGAAGTAGTATTTACATAGATCTTTCATTCGACATACTGTTTTTTTAATCGGACCATTTCCCTTAATACAGAGGGGATTCAAAACATAAAAATGCATATAGAAAGTAGAACTTTTTCAACTTAACTTTTGAAAGTGTTCCGGAAGGTCTGACACTTTTATATATATCTTAAATTAAAGCTAATGTAATATACTTTATTATGGTAAAAAAAAATTTCGGACTTTATCTTATCTTCATGGTGAAAATGGCTACCGAATGCTATTTTTGTGTGAAAATTTTCGATTTTGTATTTTACATTTTTAACTTTATTATGCTATAACTTTTTGAAAAATGTATGGATCATTACAATTTTTGTATGAGAAGTAGTATTTACATAGATCTTTCATTCGACATACTGTTTTTTTAATCGGACCATTTCCCTTAATACAGAGGGGATTCAAAACATAAAAATGCATATAGAAAGTAGAACTTTTTCAACTTAACTTTTGAAAGTGTTCCGGAAGGTCTGACAATTTTATATATATCTTAAATTAAAGCTAATAAAATATACTTTATAATGGTAAAAAAAAATTTCGGAATTTATTTTATCTTCATGGTAAAAACAGACTTTAAACTTAATAAAAAAAATACGATTTTTGTAAAAAAATTCTTTTTTATTTTTTTAACTTTATAATGCTATAACTTTTTGAAAGATGTATGGATTAATATAATTCTATTTTTATGGATGCATGGTGTCTTTACCTATCATTTGGTATATTTTTTTTATAAATCTGACTTTTTACCTGCCTACAGGGGGGGATTCAAAATGACAACTTTTTCACAAAAAATTGACTTTTTCAACTTAAATTTTGAAAGTGTTCCGGAAAGTCTGACACTTTTATATATATCTTAAATTAAAGCTAATGTAATATACTTTATCATGGAAAAAAAAAATTTCGGACTTTATTTTATCTTCAAGGTGAAAATGGCTACCAAATGCTATTATTGTGTGAAAATTCTCAATTTTATTTTTTACATTTTTAACTTTATAATGCTATAACTTATTGAAAAGTTTATGGATCCACACAATTTTTTTATGAGAAATAATATTTTTTAATAAACCCTTTTTCATTCGACATACTTTATCTTAATCGAGATATTAATAAGGAACCAGCAGATCAAGTAGCTTTTGGAATAAAACACCAATTTTTTTAAAATTAAACACTATCTAACGATTTGCATCGAAGCGTTTATATTTGATAGTGATTTTAATCACTGTCAGATATCATTATACTTAATCCAACTATGCCACGTCACCACTGTGCCGCGACCCCCCTGTGTTGGGTTTTTTTAAAATGAAACTACTCTTTTATTTATCCCACCTGAAAAAATACTCGGTTTAAAAAATAATTTTTTGCTCTCCATACTAAAGTTATTAATTGTATTATTTGAAGGTTTGTTTGTATTTTTACATTGGGATATATAAAACCACAATAGTCTTATTTTTAGGTCTGATATTACACCAGTAGTAATTAAATTTCTCTCTTCGAGTTTTTATATTAATTTATGCTTTTTTAGATTATTTATCCAATCAAAAGTTTTCTTATGCTCCTCTGGCACATTTTCTATGGAAATATTTTCTGTTTCCTCTGACATTTATATATCAAATAATATATTTGAATAAAATAAAATAAATACAATAATTTTTTTAAAACAAATTATTATAATCATGACACTTACGTTTTTGACTCCACTAATAAAACTGGAATCGTTTATGGGTTAGGTAATCGTCCACCTATAGTACTTTACAATGTAGAAAACAATACGCATTGGATTCCTAGAGTACTTTCGGATAAAAAATCCAAATATATTCCAAATAATGTAATAAGTTTCACAGAATTTGATCCCATTTATAAATTAAAACAATCAATAGCAAATCACGTTAAAAAATCATTTAACACAATTGAACCATGTAATGATTCAATTACTAATAAATCTATCACAAACAATAATAATGTAATTTTAAATATAAACACATTCACACACACAGAAAAGAAAACTATTACAGACAGAGAGGGAACACCTATTAATATTTCACCTCAGTTACTAGATTCTGAACACAAACAAGCCTCTAAAACAATAACAAAATACAAAAATTCAGAATTGAATAATATTTTTAATATTAAAGAAGCAAATAAAGAAAATAAAACACACAATTATATTTTTCTAAATTTAAGCAAATTTAATATTTCAACACAAAAAGTAGAGTTAAACAAAATAATAAATGAAAGCATAGAAACAAAAACATTATTTAACTTTATGACACCACCATTAATTAATAACAAAAGATTGTATTCAAATTGTTTAGTTGTTTCAGACAAAAATACAAAGGAGAGAATTAAAAAATTTCAGTTGCAATTCCAAACAAATATGAATCTATTAAAAACAAAAGACAATTTTCAATATATTAACTCAATTAATTTAAATTGTCAATTTTTACAGGTACATATAAAAGCAACAAATCGGTTCAAAATAAATCTAACTTATTTTTATAATAACAATCATAACACTATGAAAATAGAACAAGATACTTTTAAAAAAAATGAAACGCTATCAATTTTACCTAATAAACTTATTTCTCTTGGTTATAACCTAAATTCTTATATGAAAAATATTCCAAAAATTTTACAACATTTTAAAAGAAACGTTTTAACTACAAAGAATGCATTTTATCATTCTTTAAATAAATATTATTGGTCTTTTATAAATTACATACAACTTTTTGTTAAACACACCATGAAAAAGACTTGCATTAAGCATGTCATTTTTATTTTTGACCCCGGAGGTTAATATTTTTATATAATTGTCATTAATAATCAAAAAAGGGAAACATTGTGTAACGAACATAAAAAAAAAAAAATGTCTATAACAAATTACTTATAATTTATTTAATTTTAAGTTGAATAAATATTACACAATATATTATTTGTTTGTCAATCATTCATAATTTGTAACTGATTATAAATATACAAATCATACGAAAGCATATTTTTTTTTAATGATTTCAATGAGTTAATAAATATTCATAATCTCTGTTCTATATTTAATCACACCAAGTCTACATGTAAAAACTTAAAGTCACAAAATGCCATTTTATAATTCACATCATTGTATAATCAGTAATATAATTTTATAAATTTATAATTAGTTCATAAAATAAATATTTTTGTAAAAAACATACAATTGTAAAGCAAATTTCAACAATTTCAAATCATTGAAAATTACAAAAGATGAAGAAAAAGCAATTCATACTAGTAATTATGGTTAAATAATTAGTTCAACGATCACCAGTTGAAGATTTTGGAATTCAAATTAACAGTAAAAACTAAAAAATCAAATGCTTATACAAGATCAACACTTAAAAAAAAAAAAAAAAACCAAATTAAAGAAATCTATTTGATTGCACAAATTTATTTGCTTTTGACATCCATGGCTTCAAAAGAAAGTTACAATTAAATCAATAATAATGTGAAGTCCAAAAATAAAAAAATTGTATATTTTCACATTTAAAAGCATTATGATTATAATTTACAAAACCAAATAGCAATACATCAAAATTGAAAAAGCCAGAATTCTAGAAGAACGATAATGTCTGAACTTTTTATTTTTAATGATTATTACTATGTATGAAGAGAACAAGATGATCTTTTAGACTACAATAAAATTTCTTATACTATCTTAAAATGTTAGTGGCATATTATTATTGATATTTATTGTCATATTGTTATTGGCACAATATTTAAATATTTTATTTAGTACTATACATACTTATTTACTATCATAATATTATGTTTATACATTCTATATATATATTTTTTTCAATTAATATTATAAATTCATTAGATTATGTTATTAACATTTAAATATTTTATATATTAATATTTGATATTTAATTACATGATAATTAAACATCATTATTTATGAACACTATTAATCAACTACATTTACGAAATTGTTATTATATCCTTATTATAATAAATTTTTTCTTGACCATACTCCCCTTAGTTGTGAGGACACAACTTTCAAAAAAATTGGGGTGGATGTAATGATATACATAGTACATCATTAATATTATAATAAATTATTTGTATACACAATAGATCATTAATGTCATAATGTATTATTTAAGACTTCAATCAATCAATTACACAAAATAAAATGTATACCAATAAAAATAAGATATATATATATATGTACCTTTTAAATGTTTAAAAATATTAATGAAATTTCGTAGAAAAAGAGTATATATTAATTAGATAAAACAAACAGGAAATAATAAACAGTATGTAATGGTAGCACATAAGATGAAGGGTAATAAACTATGTCTAAATTATTATATGAGATATGATTGTATTTTATAATATGTAGATCATTATTGATGAAAATGTAATAAATAACATGTAATAAATTACGATTAATAAAGAAATAATAGTGGCGTCGGGGATTACTTCTTGCCTTTGAACTACGGTCAAATTTAATATAAAAAGCCAAAAATAAAGAACATTCTGGGACAGATGCAATCAGATATTTACAGAGGCACTCACTGCGCTCGATTATTCCACACTACGAAATATATGCAAGAAGTGTTTCGCCGTCAACACAATTATATTTTTTCACAAAATACAACATCTATTTATTTAAGAGTATCGCAGAAAATATCAAGGTAGGAATCTAATAAATTCACCAAAAATAAATAAGGTTTAGAATTAAATTTTATGAGTACATAGATTAAGTAGGCATACAGGAAAATCAAGTGATTATCAATAATAATAAATATACCAAGTAAATTTAATAAATCGATAATGTTTGTACAGAGTTACTTGGCAGAGTTATATCGTTGATACGTGTCTATTTCAGGAGTTAGGTTGGAGGTTCATATGTATAGCCACCATACCACTCTGGGTAGACACACGAGGTGACTCAATCCCACCTATCATCGATAACCGTCAAAACTCGTGGCATTATTGATATTTAAGAATTGGCAATTAATTATGATAAATCCCATATTAATAAAATAAAGATCACTTTATTTATCTATCATCTTCTATCTTTCGTACAGACCCTCGTACTCATACCCCGAATAATAATATTACCATACAATAAAGTATATTATATATTTTCTATTTCTTTTTATTCACTACAATAATATATAATATACAGAGTGATTCATTAAGGATAAGACACTCGTTTACTCAGTAACTATTGAAAATTTTAAATTTTTGGTAAGAAAAATATTATTTGATTCACTACAATAATATGTAGTAAAAACATGATATTTTACATCCCTTCAAGGTTAAAAAACATTAACTTGAGTTTTTTTAAATGAGAACACATATTTTGAATTTAATAAAATGTTTGAGTTTTTAATTTAATAGTAAATGAAATATAAATTTTTAATATAACTTTATTCGTTTATTAGATATAAACACTTAAAGTTTCAAATTTTTGAGTTAATATACATGTATAATACACATGGGTTTACAAATACAGGTAGCTAATTGGTTTTTTAAGATATTGCTGTCACAGTCAAGGATTGTTTATTATCAATTATGACTATCAATAGATATACTTTTTGTATTGTCGGTTAGTGTATTTATAAACTCACAACAATGTACCTTACTATCATTGATAATAACAATGCTGTGTACCTGCTAATATCGATGTCATAAAAAATCAATTAGCTACCTGTATTTGTAATCCCTTGTGTATTATACCTATATATTAACTCAAAAATTTGAAACTTTAAATGTTTATATCTAATAAACAAATTAAGTTTCATTAAAAATTCAAATGCCATTTACTATTGAATTAAAAACTCAAACATTTTATTAAATTAAAAATATGTGTTACCATTTAAAAAAACAAAGTTGACACCCTTACCAGGCATAAGGGATGAACTTAAAAAGTATTACATAGTTAATAATTCAAGAATAATGTGTAACTAAAGATAATAAAGAAAAAAAATGTTTAAATTATTATTATTCTGCAAGTAATTGAGTGGGTTATGATAAAAAAATCACCCTGTATATATGTATATGTAAATTTTAATTTACCAATAATCCAGAGCAATCGCCAACCGTGAAATAATAGCTTAAACGAAATCTGCTCTATATAGATTTGATTTTAACAAAAGTACTTATTTAAACTTTATTATTTATATTAAAATTTTATGTTCAGCATTTTAATGCTTAACTTTGAATTAGTATTCTTTTTGCTTTTATGCGAAGCTGAGAAGGTATTGGTTTTACTATGATGTGTTTTTTTTTTTTTGTGACTGCTACCACTTTTTCTTAGCTCTCACTGAATGAATTTCTTTCAATTTTTTTTACTTAAAAGTGCCATAACTTTTTCAAAAATGAACACATCAGTATAATTTTTTTTATATAGATTCATATTATTACCTTTTATTTGGTATATTTTTTTTTTTATATGTAACTCTTTACTTGCCCACAGGAGGGGATTTAAAATGACAACTTTTTCACAAAAAATTAACTTTTGAAAGTTTTTCGGTAAGTCTGACACTTTTATAAATATCTTAAATTAAAGATAATGTATTATTTTTTATTAAAAAACAAAAATTTGACCTCTGGACTTGTCTTCATGGTGAAAATGGCTACCAAATGCTATTTTCGTGTGAAAATTCTTGATTTTTTTTTTACATTTTTAACTTTATAATGCTATAACTTATTGAAAAGTGTATGGATAAACACAATTTTTTTATGAGAAATTATATTTTTAATAATCCCTTTTTCATTCAGGATATTAATAAGGAAATAGCAGATCATGTAGCTATTGGAATAATCCACCAATATTTTAAAATTAAACACTATCTAAAGATTTGCATTGAAGTGTTTTTTTTTATAGTGATTTTAATCACTGTCAGATATCATTATACTTGATCCAACTATGCCACGTCACCACTCTGCCACGACCCCCTTGTGCTGGGTTTTTTATACTACGTTAACCTGTCTTTTTATACTTTTATTTTAATTCAATTATGGGATTAACTTCATTCAGTGTTTCCAGATATTTTTATTTACATATAGTTTAATTGTGATCAAAGTTTACAATATTTTCCTTTAATATACAATAATTTGAGTAATAGGATGATAACATAACTTTTGTCATATTAATACTATTATTACAACAATTGTGGATACAAACAAAGTAGCCCACTGTTATTTCATATTGTGATAGTGACGAGTATATTACGACATATCTTTTATAATTATAAAAAATATAGCAAAAATTAAGGAATTATCAATAGTTACACTTAGGTTTTAAGCATTATATTAAATTCTAAAAAATAAGAAACTTAATCTACGTAGGTAACAAATTAATTGCATTATCGGAAGTATAAGAAAAAAGTCTTAACATTTGAAACCCGTACATAAAAGTCATAATTGATACAAATAAAATATAATTTATGATTATTTAACATTTGTATAGAGAGTTTTGTTGTAAATTATTCTGAAACTATTCAGAATCTGTATTGTGCACCATTTAAGTCTGCTCTTTTTTCTTATCAGAGTTTCCTAAAAGACGTTTGAAGCTTGTGTTTTTTGAAAATTTTAAAATTGCATTTTTATATGAGATTAATCTTTTTTCAAACTGAAAAATATAATGTTTTTTTATTAGTTATATATAATGTAAGTTTAGTTTAATAATAAATATTATTTTTGTAGTTTAATTAATTTTCATTTTTCAAAAATTAATTTTATTATATTAAACTGATATTTACATAAAATTTTACTGTAACATCAATAAATCTTCACATTTTTTATATTAATTTATAATATTTATATCATAGTAATATGTTCATTTTTACTAAATTAAAAACTTATTTAATATATAATACATTTTTATGTACTAAGCATATTTAAATATGTACATATTGTAAATATGATACATACATAATATTAATTGAATATTTTTATAAAATTAATAAGTGTTTATTTGATATTCTATAAATTGATAACTCTACATGTAGAAAAATAATTAACATTTTTACAATTATTGGTAGGCAGCTGCAATATACTATTTTTACTAAGAATTATCTAAAGCCGAATAATGTTTAATCTATAAGAAAATAAAAGGTGTCAGAAATTCTACTTTCTAATTGCAATACCTTGTATGCGCAGGAAAGAAATTAAATTTTCGAAAAAATAGGAAAGAGCCCTATAAGAATTATTAAAAAAAATTCGTTTTTATTCGTAAATTTATCGAAATTTTTAGTCAAAGTATTTAAAAAATATACATAATTTTTTATTTTTTGGTGTATCGTTGAGTAATATTAATCAAATGAGAGCTTACTGTCTACAAACATAAAAAACCGCGTCATAGTAATATGAAAACTAAAATTATAAAAAAAAAATCGTGATTGTTTATTGTTTAAGTAGATGAACTAAAAGTATTCAGAATGTACTGAATTTAAGAGTCAACTCTATCACTTTTGAAACAATTATCATCTCGCTAAAACTTTTTTCCAACAAACTTGTACATTATTAAACTATTTTAAAAATCCATTCTTTATTAATTGTCTTAAGAAAACATAAATTTTCATTTTTTTTTTTAATGAAAAACATTTATTATTTAGTGTTTTTCTTATAATAAATTTTGATGAATGAATAACAATTTTAAGACAAGTACTAATTGTAATATATATGTTTATTTATAATATATACTCCACCCGCGAAGCATTCCCACTCTACAGTTTGATTTTTATATCATATCCCACTCTATTACTTACAGAATAAAAATAATTTAAACATTTTTTTTTTTAGTTACGTATTTTGTTCTAAAATTATTAGCTATATTGTAAGGGTGTCAACCTTGTTTTTTTTTTTTAATGGAAACACATATCTTGAATTTAATAAAATGTTTGAGTTTTTATTTTAATAGTAAATGGAATTTAAATATTTAATATAAATTTATTCGTTTATTAGATATAAAACTTTTAAGTTTCAAATTTTTAAGTTAATATGTATAATATACGATTGATTACAAATACAGGTTGCTAATTGCTTTTAATGACGTCGATATTCGCAGATACGAAGCATTCATTATCAATGGTAGTAAGGCAGGCATATTGTTATGAATTTATAAATAAAAACACAATACCAAAAGTATTTCTAACGATGAAGTCATAAAAGCTCCGTTTCTGTGATAGCGATGTCATAAAAAACCAATTATCTACCATGACTTGTAATTATACACGTATATTAATTCAAAAATTTTAAATTTAAGTATTTCATAGCTAATAATTTAAGAATAACACGTGTAATATAGGTCATTATTTTATAAAACTGAAAACAAAGCATTTTTGTAATGTTTGGTTTAACTATGAATTTCTTGATCTATTATTACTAAAATATAATATAGTCTATTATTTGTAAACCTAGAAGTAGAACACTTTTGTAATGNTATGAATCTCTTGATCTATTATTACTAAAATATAATATAGTCTATTATTTGTAAACCTAGAAGTAGAACACTTTTGTAATGTTTGGACTAATTGTAATTACCCGAATTATTGTTACTAGATTAGGAAGTAAATATTTATAAACCTTTTTGAAAATGATTACTATATGAATTTTATAAAAAGACAAACAAAGTATTTTAGTATATAAGATGAAATGGAATGAATTGAAAAGTAGAGAAAGAGAAGACCTCGGGAGTACCGAAGGTAATCTCTTTCCGTGTGGTACGTTTGTGACATTAAGTTTTTATTTTGTGTATTATTTATTTATCCGTTTTTAAGTGTATCAATATTTTATA